AAGATGGACTGACACAGTGGCTGTGATGATTGGCTCAAGCATGGCAATGATTCTGAGGATGGCACAGGATCAGGCAGTGTTTTGTTCTTTTGTACACAGGGTCACTATGAGTCAAAAGTGACTAGATGGCTGGCACCTAACAACAATAGCATGTTATTTTCATTATTTTAAAACATTCCTTTCTTTCCACTTATCAAATTGGTATTATATCAATAGTGGTAAAATATGATGAATTCTGCTTAAGATGTGGTAAATTCAAATATTGATTTTTTTATAGATTAAACTTAAATGAAAGCCTAAAATTAAAACCTTGACTGACCTCAAAATCAAATTCTGAAACACCACAAATATTTTAATGTTTTCAGAACCCAATACATAGAATCTGTTTTAATAAGAACACAAAGCTCTAATGATGTTAGTAATATTCTAAGTTAGGTAGTGGTTTCATGGGTGTTTCTTAATACACTTCATCATTTAAATATACTTTATATATTTTGTATCAAGTTTCCTAATACAATTACTGAAAAAATGAGCTTATGATGATTTGGCCTAGAGTAATAACAGTACCAATGGAGAGAAGTGGATAAATTTTAAAACAGAATTTGTATTTGAATTATGACATAGCCTCAACAGGATATGGTGATGGACTAGATATAGGGATATAAATGGAAGGGAATCAAAGATGCACTAATACTTTTTCCTTATGTAAACAGATGAATATTAAGTACCCAAGGACACAGAAGAAAAATTGGAAGGAGAAAGTAACAGCCAAAGATAATGAATTCAGCTTTGGACAGGTTGAATTTGAGAAGTTTGTGGTACATAACAAAAGTCAGCAGGAAATTTCAATTTCTGTGGTCTTCAAACTGGGTATTTAAAGACAATCCAAAGGGTATGTGAGATTCAATAACCAGATCCTCAATTTGCCATATGTACTTTTTCCTAAACTAATCTCTCTGAGAACTCCTTTCGTACATCCCCTTTTCCAAATACCCTTCTTCCACTTTACAAAACAAAGCTCTCACACATCAAAAATCTTACAATGTTACATTGCCCAAATATAAAAATCACTATATTGATCAAGAGGGAGCTCTGGTAGCATAGTGCCTAAGGCACTTGACTGTTAACCAGAAGGCTGGTGGTTCAAACCCACCAGCTACTCCTCGGAAGGAAGATGGGGCAATCTACTTCTGTAGTGATGCTGCCTCAGAAACCCAAGGAGGGGTCGCTATGAGTAGGGTCCGACTCAATGGCACATAACAACAACAACAACAACATACTGATCAAGGTTATAAATATCACAAGTGATCAGTCATGTGGATACCATATACCACTATTATGATACAATGAGAAGGGTACTTCACATCTGTGGTATTTTCCATTAAAACCCATTACTCCAATCTAATCATCAGGAAACATTAGACAAACCCAAATCGAGGGACATTCTTTGGAAAAAAGAAAAAATCCTGTAAAGGTCTGAAATCCAAGGAAAGACCAAGAAATTCTCAAAACTAAGGAGATTAAATATACTGTGATATCCTGGATGGAACCTAGAACAGAAAGAGAATATTAGTGGAAAAATGAGTGAAATCCAAATGAAGAATGAAATTAATGAATAATGAATAATAAATGAATCAATGTAAGATGTTACCATTTGGGAGCGGAATCTCTGGGTGGCACAAATGGTTAAGTTCTCAACTGCTAGCTGAAAGTCTTCAAAGTGACATTTTTGCTTCTTAACATTTAAAAAGGTCTTTTGCAGCAGATTTGCCCAGTGCAATATAATATCTGAGTTCTTTTTTATTTTTTTATATATATATATATATATATATATATATAAACATATATATATTTGTGCTTTGGGTGTACATTCACAAAGCAGATTTGTTTTATATTCAACAGTTCATACACATTTGATTTCATGGCCCTGATTACAAACTCTGACCATAAAAGCTCTCCTTCCCTCTCCTCCCTGTGACTACCCCTTCCTGTACCCATCTTATCTATACATTCTGTCTGTCCAGCTTTCCATCTATGTGAATGCTGCCCCTCTGATATCTCACGGCTGGATGATCTAAGCGGTGCATTTCCCTAGAGTAGATGAAGGCATCTCCCAGGGGTAGGTGTTCCGCATGCACATTTTTCTACTATTGGGTTGAGAGCCAACCCATGGAAGTCAGTCCATTTCTAGGCCCAAAGGGTAACCCAGGGTCATAGTTTCAGGGGTTCCACCGGTTTCTATCCAACCAGTAATTCTTGTCATTTCTGTGTTTTTGAATTTTGTTCCACATTTTTCCCCCCACTCTATCCAGGATCTTCAATTCTAATCCCTTTCCAAGCATTCGGCATCTTATCTTTGGACTAATTGTTTCCAGATGACTGATTTTCTTCATTTTCCTTTGCTTCTGATGAGAAGAGACCAATAGTTGCATCTTAGATGGCTGCTCAAAAGCTTTTAAGACCCCAGTCACTACTCACTAAAGTAGGATGTACAAGATTTTTATGTACTATGTTGTGCCAACTGAACATAATGTCACCCAAGACTATGGTCCTGAGTCACTCTTTCACAGTGTTTGGCTGTCTCTGAGAATATACTCCACAACATCTGATTTCTTTACTGCTGCTTTCATGGATGTTGACTGTGAATCTATATAAAATGAAATCCCTGACAGCTTCAATCTTTTCTCCTTTGTCATGTTTCTTATTGGTCCAGTTGTGAGGACTGCTGTTTTGAAAAACCCTATGAAGCAGTTCTGTTCTGCACATATGGGGTTGTCATGAGTTGAAATTAACTCGATGGCAACTAACAACAGCAAAAACATTTGGGGAAGGTGGGTGAAAGTTATATGGAACTTCTCTGAACTATCACTGCAACTTCTCTGTAAACTTAAAATTATTTCAAAATAAAAAGTTCATGTTTTAAAAGACAAAATAATATTACCATTTAGAAAATAATGAATAGAATTCAGAAAGATTTAAGAAAAAAATTACTATATGGCATATAACTCTAAAAGAAGGGAGTGATATTATTTTATTTCCTTCCATTCCCATTTGCTTATTTATATAAGCAAGGTTTCATAAAGGTTATCATCTACAAAAATGAAAATGTAAAATTTTAACTGTTAAAGAAATGTTTTTTTTTTCCAATTATATTTCAGGTGAACAACATTGGATTAATCATAATCCTTGGTTCATTCTAAATTTCCATCATGGTTTATGCATGACCTGTTCCTTTTTCAGTTAGTGATCTGTACTATCGTAATGTTGTTGCTTTTGTTAGTGACTATCTCGCCAGATGTTTTTGGACATAAGTGTTTTTTCTTCAATAAAATGTATGCTCCTTGTCTATTTTCCTATTGGACATATGTATTAGTTATCTATTAACAAAAGCAAACCAAACCCAATGCCATTAAGTCGATTCCAATTCACAGCAACCCCCATTTGGGTTTCTGAGGTAGTTAATCTTTGCAGAAGTAGATTGCCCCATCTTCTTTCCATGGAATGGCTGGTGGGTTTGAACCACCAACCTTCTGGTTAGCAGTCAAATGCCTTAGGCACTGCACCACCAGAGCTCCTTTAGTTATCTATTGCTACCTAACAAACTGTCCCAAAACTTAATAGCCTAAAACTATGTTTATTATCTCAGGTTCTGCACAGCTTAGATAGGTCCTCTAATTCAGAGTCTGTCACAGGCTGCAATCAAGGGATCAGCTAGGCTGTACTCCTCTTAAAGCTGGTCCTGTGTGGGGAAATCTACTTCCAGGCTCACTCCCATGGCTGGTGATTCCTCATGGCCTGCTGAACTGAGTCAGTTCCTAGTATGTTGTTGCTGTTGTTGTTAAGTGCCGTCGAGTCGTCTCCGACTCATAGTGACCCCATGCACAGCAGAACGAAACACTGCCCGATCCCGCGCCAGCCCCACAATCCATGCTATACTTGAGCCCATCATCGCAGCCACCGTATCAATCCATCTCGTTGAAGGCTTCCCCCTCTTTCGTCGACCCTCCACCCTACCAAGCATGACATCCTTCTCCAGGGAATGGTCCCTTCTTACAACATGACCAAAATAGGTGAGACGAAGTCTGGCCATTCTTGCTTCCAAGGAGCATTCTGGCTGCACTTCCTCCAGGACAGATCTGTTAGTTCCTTTAGCAGTCCATGGTACTTCACTAGTATAGTGTTTCAGTATTCTACCAAATATATTTTGCTAACTTACTACTTCTCCCATTAATATTACCATATTATACAGATATATATAAAGCTCAATACCTTATATTTATTATTTCATTTATTTCTCACAACTCTAGAAGGTATTTAGATACCTTCCACAGATGGAGAGACAGGCTATGGTGGGTCTAAAGACAGACTTTGGAATTAAAAAGGCCAGAATTTAAAACCTGGTCTATTTGGCTCCAGAGATTGTAACTACTAATTCATACTGTCACCCTTACCTTGTTGTCCTTTTTCATTTCCTGGAAAAAAAGATAACAATAGTTTCTTCAATAGTTTATTTTAAAGAAGAGAAAATTGCTACTATAGAAGAAAGGCAATTTTTCCCAGCAGTGGTAGATGGAAGAACAAGGATTCAAACCACAGCTGTCTGACTGATTACAACGCCCATGCTTTTTCCATCACCCCAAGGTTTCTTAACCACAGGTTAAGGAGTTTGAAGGAAGAACTTCAGAGGTACATGTACTACTTGAAATTATATGCCAAATTTCATGTCTATTTACTTAAGTCCGTTTAAAAAAATGGCCACAGCTTTACAAAAAGCTCTATGATTGCCTAGAAGATTAAGAACCACCATTACATCATCTAAGAAAAATAAGAAAATGAAACATGAACCCCAATACTTCTTAAAATAAATCTGATTATAATATACAAGTTCATTTTCACTCTTACTGAAGAAAATAAACCTCTAAAGCTAACCCATCTAGAAAACATGCTGTGAAATGTTCTTTCCTAATATATTAAATTATTGCATTTAAAATGTATCTTACATTCTTTAGGCTGGACAGACGAATAACTCCCAAGATTTAATAACTGACTGGTAAATGTTGATTGTAGTACTGTCTCACCAACCCATTGATCCTCATGAATAGTAACATCTAGAGAGGAGAAAAAAGTTTGATCATGCCATAAATTCCTTCATATTATTTATGCTTCCCACATACCAGGCAACTAAAGTTCCAAAAGGTTAAGTGATTAAGTGATCTGCCCAAAGGCATGAAATGATAAAACAGCAAAATCTGAAATCTGAACCTCAGTATCTCTGTATATAGGTAAATTGAAAGATGCTTCTGTATTTCCAAACATTATCAGCACGGAAGCTCACTGTTCCACAGAGAAAGATTTAATGGCTTTTGTTTACATAGGCAAATGTTATAATGTAATAATTTCTAATACATTGCCAAGAAGCAAAGTAAAGATTCCAAAGCAGTGGTGCCTAGGAGAGCAAATAATATTCAGTATGCATTTTTACCTTCTGCTATAAACATACCTGAATATAAGGCATTCTTAGAGGGTTATGATTATTTTTCCCTATTGGCATGGTAATCATCTTCTATAGATATTAAAAGTGAAAGGCTTTGGAAGTATATTTTCCAATGAGAAAAAGAGCCATAGGACTCTTTTTTGATAGAGAAGACTCACCTAGAGGAACTAAACATATCAATAAGTAAAAACTACTCTAGGTAGGGCAAAAGTGTTAAGACAGAGAAAAAACTGTCAAGACAGAGAAAAGTGTCCCAGGCAGGATATAATCAGGGTGCAAAGTATTAGAGGAATAAAGATATATTAACTGTAGCAAAATAATTTAGAGATAATGGGAAAGAAAAACAAAAATGTATAAAGTCTAAGTGATTGCTTTCAAATTTATACTCTAGATCCTCAGCTTTAGACTCATTTATTCATACTGCATAATGAGCATTCCTGCCTTGAAGTTCTAATGGCTCCTCAAATTCTGTACTGTCTAAACTTATTTTTCCTCTCATATGACCCATCTCATTTTTTGGCACTATGTTACCAGCCAGATAAACTAAAATTTGAAATCATCCATTTCCTTCCCACCCTTTGCCCTCAATATCTCACCTATTGATTTTACCTCTTCAATCTGCCCACTATCTTGCCATTGGAATGGATATTGAAATAGACATTTTTCAAAAATGTATTCATAGAAATAATTTAAACATTCTACAGTAAGAAAACAGTTAAGTAAATTGTGGTAAAGTCAATTGATGAATGTTACCTAACTAAACCAAAACAAACTCACTGCCATCTACTCAATTCCAACTCATAGCAACCCTTTAGGACAGAACAGAACTGTTCCAAGGGGTTTCCAAGGCTGTAAAAATCTTTATGAAAAAAGATTGCCTCATCTGTCTCCTGCAGAGCAGCTGTTAGTTTCCAACCACTGAACTTGTGGTTAGCAGCTTAATGCTTTAACTGTTACTCCACCAGAGCACCTTTAGAATGTCACCTATTTTTTAACAACTGTAGGAAAAAAATACAAAGACAGCAGGGTGGAGTTCATATCTGCCCAGTGGAAAGCCTCCCAGAAGCTCAGACAATGACAGTCATTGTCTTGGTAAAATTACCATGGGCCAGGCTCCTGCTCTCTCTTTGCAGTCTGAAAAACTGATTTTGTCAGCACTCCAAAAATAGATTTCACCTTTCCAACATAAGCTCACATTCAACAAGTTAATGAGACAAATACAAAACCAGAACACAAATTTTTAAAAATTTATAATGAGACATTAATCGTCAAAGAAAGGAGAATGCGTGCAACCCATTCTCACCTTGCAGGCAGTTCTACAACTGGAAAGTGAGAGTGTAAGCAAAAGACTGCTCACTGAGCACTGAATCAGAACAGAGGGAGTTGGATTAAATGGCTCCATCCAACCAGTAAAATGGCAATGCCATACTAAGCCTGTTAGTTACAATCCCTTGTGTTTACCTCTTTATCAGAAAGTCCTCCTGATCATTGTACAAGAATACCAAAATAGATTAGCTAAGGTTCTCATTCCCCTGAAAACTGTTTAGTTAGGACTAACAATGATTGCCTTTAAGTTTTTCTTCTAAGCTCTAAGACTGACCAATACTTTTTTCTTTAGCTTTTTCTTAAACTTAATAATGGTCTTTCTGGTCTGTGATTCATCTTATCTTCTTAAACTGATATCTCTGCTCTAACACACTGGTATTGATTTTAAAGTCACTGAAAAAGCACATGTAATAAAATTTTAGACTTCTGATGCAAGCTGAAAAAATCAGGATAAAAACTCTAAGTTCTTTATGATTACAACTACAGGCAGTCCCTGACTTAAGATATATTCGAGTTACAACAAACCATTTTTTTGTGTTTTTATTTTTTGCATATCTCATCATTTGTAATAGTACTACATACAATGTTGCACTGCATAATTTGCTGATGTCATTGTATCTGTAAATATACATGTAATGTTTTCAAACCCCAAAGACAAATAAAGATCAGATTTAAAAAGATACTGATAATAAAAAGCAATAACAACAAAATCTTAAAAAAAAAAAAAAAAAAAAAAGAATGGTGTATGTCACTTATGTCAAAACCAACTTACATCAGAACAGAACCCCAGAACCCTGTTGTTAAGTCGGGGAATACCTACATGTAGAAGTATGGATTCTAGAATGATGCTAAAAAAACTTATCAAGTCAATTCTGATTCATGACAACCCCATGTGTTACAGTGTAGAACTGCTCCACAGGATTTTCTTGGCTTTAATCTTTATGGAAGCAGATCTTCCATGGTGCTTCTGGGTGGGTTTGAACCACCAACCTTTAGGTTAGAAGTTGACTACAAACCATTTGTGCCTCACCCAGGGATCTATTGGAGTGATGCTAACCCAGGTCAAAGCACGGCTTTGCCTCTTCCTAGATGAGTGACAATGAACAAATTACTTCTTTGGTCGCAGTTTCCTCAACTGGAAAATGGGGACAATAATCAGTAGCTTCCTCATATAGCTGAAATGATTTGATATACATGTAAAGCACTTAAAACAGGGCCTAACACAAAGTAAGGTCCCAATAAACCAAAAAAAATCAAACTCATTGCCATTGAGTAAATTCCGACTCATAGTGACCCCACTGGGTTTCTGAGGTGGTAAATCTTTACGGAAGTAGATTTCCCAGTCTTCCTTCCCCTCAGCAGATGACTGATGGGGTCTGAACTGCCAGTGTCCTGGTTGCAGTCAAATGCCTTTGGCACTGAGCCACCAGAGCTCCTGAGGTCCCAAGGAGCACCAGCTATTATTATATGTCTGTGTACACATTTTAAAGAGCATACAGAAAATGAACTATAAAGAAACACTCCAAAATTTTAATGAGGTTAATGTGGTACCAGGAGTTTTTTCTCCTTTCTGTAATGCCAAATGTAATTAACATAATTTTAATAATAAATGACTCATATATAATAAAGTAGCAGAAATGCTGTCCAAATGCTATTCTTTCACTGTGGGACTGCTAATATAATTAAAGGATTATAAAAAAGCCATACACAGACAAAACAAACAGCAAGTCTGATGATATTACCTGAAAGAATAAGAGGGGCAATCAGGGAAGGCTTTTAAAAGGAGATGAGCAGAAAGGAGGTACAGAACTAAAAAGGGCAGAGTAAAGACCCAAAAAGGGCAATGAACAGGATACTCAGGAATGGTAAGGAGACCAGTGTGGATGCTATAACAGGATCAATCAGCTGCAGCCAAGAAGAGGCAAATGGAAATGAAAGAATTCCAAGGGACTTAAAGAGAAGGGGAAAATAAAAAACACAACATAGCTTCATAAAATAAACTATCAATCACTACACCATGAAGAACTCACCTGTGAGTAAAATTATATCTCCAGGAAACATTGTAAGTGCCCAAAATGCTGTAGTCCGCCACATAAAAACCTTCTTCTTAATTTCCGATTGGTCGATTACTGTAATTGCTGCTAAAGGTACTTTAGAGCCAGAATTTGGTCCTGCTTTTATTTTTATTTCTTTCAGATGACATGGAGATAACACCATGACTAAGCAATTATACTTCTGACTTTTACAATCACAATTTTTTATTAATGATGTTTTTTTAACATATTTAAACTCAGACACATTCCTCTGGCCCAGTGTTACAGCAAGACATCTTGCATTAGAAAGCAATTTAGTTTTCTTAGATACTTGGAAGATTTTAGATAGAGCTTCAGAATGGCCTGATGCATCGTGAGACGTCCAACTTCTTTTACTGGCACTTTTATCGAAGTTATTGTGTTGGGAGCACAGTATTCCTGACCTACATGACTCAATACAGATCTCATTTGGTGGCAGTTTTTCTTCAGAACTGAAAAGTTCTTGAGATCCTTTATTTTCTTCAAGATCTTTATCAGAGTTTAAGAGAATGTGGTTACTTTTTGTTTCAGGAGAAACGGGACTAAAAAGTTCAAGGGAATATGCTTGCTCTTGTCCACTTTCATACCCTTCTGCCAAATCCTCACTAGGCTGAATCAAATTATCCTGCGTTACTCTCATTTCCTCATGACTTACTGTTGGTCCAATCTCCATGTTTATGGCCCCTTTATTTAGAGAATTCTTCCCTTTACACTTTCTCTGAGCTAAAAAAGCAACCTGGCTAGAGGTCATTATACTGAGAAATTCAGTGTCAGTAGATATTTTAAGGTTTGACACTTTCTTAACTGCTCCTTTAGATCTTGGTTTATCTACTGTTTTAGAGGAAAAGAATTCCAGACGTTGGTTTTGCATTTCATGATGTGCTCTTGGCACACATGTTGTTTCTATAGCTTCTGACCCTATATTAATCTGCTTAGTAGTACAGACCAAATCTAATATAGCTGCATGCTTAGAATCTAACTGTAGCGTTGTTTTTTCTATGTTTGAAGCACAGATATCTAACTGACCTTTATGCTGTTCAACTGTGATTTTCTTATTTTCACTGACAAGCTTTCGATAATTTTCTTCAGTTAAATGTTTCCCTCTGCTCTTAAGTCCACATCCTAGCATGCTAGAGTCTGTTACGTCCTTCACCCCTGAGGAAGGACTCTTCTGGGATTTTGCATTCTGTGTCTCAGAAATAGAGCATATAAAGTTATCTTTCAAATGAACAGATCTTTTCCTAGAGTTCACTAAACAATGACTAGTAAGACTCAGAGGGTCAATGCCATCTATGACTTGATAATTTTCAAGGCTTTTGTGATTGCATTTTTCTTCCTTTACATGTAAAGAATGTTGACTGTACAAAAGCTGAATCTTTTTCCAGTGATCAGTAACAGGTATTAAAAAAGTTGGTTCCTGTGATATTGTCATTTTCAGTGGGAGAACTGGAGCACCCCAAAAAATATGGACTTGAGATCTTCCAATCATGGTTTCTGATTAAAAAAAAAAAAAAATTAAAATTTTAAATTAGTATCCCCTGCTGCTCTAACCCAGCCAGCGAGAGACAGAGAGTGCTCCCAAGCTTCTGGTCACCTGATATAACCCCTTACCCATAGCTCTGCTCACCCAGCAAACAGCAGAGCTCCACACCTCCCATATCCCACATTCTTGATCCGCTGCCCCACCCACCCAGCTAGTGGCAAAAAGCGCTCCCACACAAACCAATCGCCTGCTATACCCCCTGCCTGCTTCCCCACACACCCAGTGAGATGTAGAGAGTTCCCATGCCCCTTATAGCCTGTGACACTGCCCAGCTCACCTCCCCACACACCTGGCAAATGACAGTGTGCTTCTATGTACCCAGCTGCCCACTACACCCTTCCTACCCACCATGTCACCCAGCTGCGGAGAGCTCCCACACCCCCAGTGGCTTAAACACACCTGTCTGTCATTCCACCAACCTGGCAAGTGGCAGAGGGCACTTCAGCGCCCCCAGTCACCTGCTATACTCCAGCTAACCATCCTGCCCACACAGAGAGCACCACTGTACACTCCCATTTCACAAGACTGACAGGTGGCAGTCTGCATCTGCCCAGCCTGCCCCCAGTTGCCTACCATGTCTGATGAACAGCAATGTGTGCACCCTGCCCACCACTGCCCTGCCCACTCAGTGACAGGTGACCAGTACTCTTGTCCCACCAGACTAGTGATCAGCATAGAAGGCCTGACCTGCACACCCTAACATATCAAAACAAAACAAACACTCAGGACAAAAAGAACAAAGATACAATCAAGCAATAAATACATACATAAATAACACATTAATACATGAGACAGCAGACAATAACAAATCATATGGGGGAAAAAAGATAAGATGGCTCAACAAATAAGCAAAATAAAAGGAAAGAAAACTTTCCAGAGGAAGCAATAACAACAGAACTACCTGAGAAGGAATTCAAAAGACTTTTGGGATCCTCAAAGAGATATAGGAAAACAGGTAAAACCCCAGAAGACTTCAGAAAAACAATACAAGAACAAAATGACAGATTCAATAAAATCATACAAACACAACAAAAATTCATAAGATTAACAATAAAATATCACACATAGATAACTCAGAAGTAGACACAGAAGTATAACTGAATCAGTAGAACAAAAAAATCAGTGAGATAAAGAACAAATTCCTTGATACTAATTTATCTGAGAAACAATAAGGAAAAAAAAAACAAAGAAAGCCCAAGAGTTATGTGGGACCCCATTAAGGGGAATAATTTAGAGATAATAAGAATTCTAGAAAAGGAGGAAGGAAAAGTACATTGAGAATTTTTGAAGATATATTGGTTGAAAACATCTCAAATATCATGAAAGGCAACAAGGTTACCATCCAAGAAGCTAAAAAAGCCCCATATAGTGCAGACCCTCAACCAAAAACTTCGAGACATATTATAATCAAACTTTCTAAAACCAAAGACAAAGAAAAAATTCTGAAATCAACTTGTGAAAAACAAAATACCACTTATAAAGGGGCACCAATAAAACCAAGCACTGATTTCCTGTCAGAAACCATGCAGGCAAGAAGGCATGACCTATACAAGGATGACACATAAAATCCTGAAGGAAAAGAATTGCTAACCAAGAATCACATATCTATTAACACTGTCTTTCAAAAATGATTTCAAAAGTAAAATGCTCCCAGAAAAAGCAAAAACAAGGGAATTTGTAAAACCCAAACCAGCCTCACAAGAAATACTAAAGTCAGTCCTTTAGAAAGAGAACCAACAATTTTACAACAACCTAAGATAAAGACACATGGCAACATAACCTAGATACTAACACAGATACAGTTTTCAAAAAAGCAAAATAAAATTAAAAAACTGACTACAGGGAAGCAAGGAAATTAAGCTGTAAACAACCACTTCAAAACAAAAATGTAGAACTGAAGATGTAGTTATAGAACTTCCATATGGGGAGGAAGTCAAAGCTGTTTCAAGACAAAACAGACTGTTTTAATTTTAAGAGAATTAAAGTAAATTTCAGGAAAAAGTCAAGGAAAGTTTATACATGGAAGGAAACTTTCTTGGTTGGAGGCGGGGTGGGAGGAGAAGAAAGAAACACTGCAAAAATAAAAATAAAAGAAATAAAAACTTTAAATTAAAAAAAAAAGGTAAACTTCAGGATAATCACAAAGAAAATAAAAAATCTGACCAAAATAAAGAAAAGCAAAAAGACTCAGTAATCTCAAAAATAACAACAAGCATTAATAGGAAAAGAAAATTCATATGCAAAAATAGACTCAGCAAGAAAAATAAAGGAAATAAAGAAACCTAACATGACAAAAGAAAAAAAAAAGTATATCAAAATGACAACAATAAAATTATATCTATCGTTAATCACACTTAATGTAAATGGATGAAATGCACCAATCAAGAGACAGAGAGTAGCAGAATGGTGTGTATATATATATATATATAGATATATATATATGATCAATATGTTGCCTACATGAAGCATAACTTAGACACAAAAACATAAACAAATTGAAAATCCAAGGATGGGGAAAATAATCAAGTAAACAGTATCTAAAAGAGAGCAGGAGTAGCAATAATAATGTTAGATAAAATAGACTTTAAGCAAAATCCATTATAAGACACAAAGATGGACATTATATAATGATTAAAAGATCAATCCACCAAGAAGACATACAATAATGATTATTCATGTACCCAGTGATAGACCTCCAAAATACATAAAACGAACTCTAACAGAATTGAAAGGATAGACAGTTTTACAATAATAGTGGGAGATTTTAACACACCACTTTCAATGATAGGTTGTTGTTGTTGCTATGTGCCCTTGAGTCAGACTCAACTCATAGCGACCCCACCACCTTGGGTTTCCGAGGCAGTATCACTATGGGAGTAGATTGCCCCATCTTCCTTCCGAGAAGTGGCTGGTGGGTTTGAACCGCCAGCCTTCTAGTTAGCAGTCAAGTGCCTTAGGCACTAAGAGATCAGAGCTCCTAATGATAGGTAGAACCAGGAAAAAACTCAGAAAAGATACATAAGATCTAAATAACACAATCAATCAACTTGACCTCACAGGCATATAAAGAATTCACCACCCAACAGAAGCACAATACACCTCCTCCAATGGGAGCTCTGGTAGTGTAGTGCCTAAGGCACTTGACTGCTAACTAGAAGGTTGGCAGTTCAAACCCACCAGCTACTCTTCGGAAGGAAGGTTGGGCAATGTACTTCCGTAGTGATACTGTTTGGAAACCTAAGGAGGGGTCACTATGAATCGGGTCCAACTCAATGGCACATAACAACAACAACAACAATGGTTAATGCTGGTAGACCCATGGTGATAGGTTTCAGCAGAGATTCCAAACTAAGGCAGACTAGGCTGGTGATTTAGTTCTAAAAAACTGGTCACTAAAAACCTTACGAATAGCAGGAGAATATAATGCTGGAAGACGAGCCCCTCAGAAGGAAGGCACTCAAAATACTAATGGAGAAGAGCTGCCTCCTCAGAGTAGAGTAGACCTTAATGATGTAGATGGGGTAAATCTTTCGGGATCTTCACTTGCTGATGTGGCACAATGCAAAATGAGAAGAAACAGCTGTAAGCATCCATTTATAATCAGAACATGGAATGCACAAAACAGGAATTTGGGAAAAATGAAAGCCATCAAAAATAAAATGGAACACATAAAGACTGATATCCTGGGCATTAGTGAGCTAAAATGGACTACTGGTCATTTGAATTGGACAATTATATGGTCTACTATGCTGGGAATGACAAATCAAAGAGGAATGGTGCTGTGTTCATCATCAAAAAGAACATTTCAAGATCTATCCTGAAGTACAATGCTATCAGTGGTAGGATAATATCCATATACCTACAAGGAAGAACAGTTAATACAACCATTATTGAAATTAATGCACTAACCACTAATGCCTAAGATGAAGAAATTAAAGATTTTTACCAACTTCTACAGTCTGAAATTGATCAAATATGCAAGCAAGATGTATTGATAATTACTAAAGATTGGAACATGAAAGTTAGAAACAAGTCTTGGCAGCTAGAAAATACAGCGTTGGTGACAGAAATGATGCTGGAGATCACATGACAGAATTTTGCAAGAACAATGACTAATTCATTGCAAATGCCTTTTTAACAACATAAACAGTTATTATATACATGTGGACCTCACTGGATGAACCACACAGGAATCAGATTGACAACATCTACGGAAAGAGATAATGGAGGAGCTCAATATCATCAAAGTCAGAACAAGGCCACCAGCCAAGTGCAGAGCAGACCATAAATTTCTTATATGTAAGTAAAAGTTGAAGCTGAAGAAAAGGTAAACAAGTCCATGATAGCCAAAGCATGGCCTTGAGTAAATCTCAACTGAATTTAGAAGATCTGATGCACTGAATACTAAAGACCTAAGACCAGAGGATTTCTCAGATGTCATCAAGGACATCATAAACAAAGAAAGCAAAAGGTATCATTAAAAGGACAGAAAAGAAGGAAAAGACCAAAATGGATGTCAGAACAATCTTTGAAACTTACTCTTCAAAATAGAGTAACTAAAGTGAAAGGAAAAAACGATGACATAAAAGAGCTGAACAGAATATTTCAAAGGGCAGCTTAAGAAGAAGTGAAGTCTAATGAAATGTGCAAAGATCTGGAGTTTGAAAAAAAAAAAAGTATTTCTCAAGGTGTAAGTACTGAAGAGAAAAATCAAGACTCAAGTCGCAATACTGAAAGTTTTTATGGGCAAAAAAAAATTGAACAACACAGGAAACATCAAAAGAATATGGAAAGAATACACACAGAGACACTGTACCAAAAAGAACTGATTAATGTTCAGTCATCTCAAGAGGTAGCATATAATCAAGACCTGATGGTATTGAAGTAAGAAGTCCAAGTTGTGTTGATGGATTTTGTGAAAAACAAAGCTCCAGGAATTGATAGAA